CCCACACGCCCACAGAGACCCGGCCTCTCTTCCCCTACTGAGAATGTCTGCCACCCGCTGTTTTATGTTTACCAGGCCATTTACAATACACACTACACACAGAAACACTGACACAGCCTGTATGTGGCACTCCCAGACTGCTCTGTCTCCAAAAACACACAGATGCCAAAATCTCTTTAAATTTTTTATTTCATTTTATTATTTTCATTACATGTGTCTGTATGTGTATGTATGTGGGTGTGCATGTACATGTGGAGATCAGAGGACAACTTCTGAGACAGTCCTCTCCTTCCATCATGCGGGTCCCAGGGATTGAACTCAGGTTGTCAGGCTTGGCAGCAAGTGTCTTTATCTGCTGAGCCCTCTCACTAGATCACTCCAATGTCTTCTTCCTCTCCACTTCCCTCTCCAAGTCTCACTTGATTGCTTTCATCAGTCTCTATATCTGGCATCACTCACCCTACTCTCCACTGATAGGGAAAGCCTGACTGCCATTGATCCATACTGGTGGGTGGCAGAGGAAGGACCTGGGACAGAGTGAGTCAGCCCCAGACGAATGGCTGGGACTGTGGGTAGGCCTGGGGTGGAAGAATTTTCAAAAAGAAAGAAGGCCGTGGGTGATGTGGTGGTGACTGCCAGGTCACTGGAACCCACAAAAGGACAGGCCAGCCTGCTAAAGCAGGAGGACGGCAGGTAGCTGCTCTCTGAGCACCAAACCCTATAGCAAGAGGAAACAGCCCTGGACTTCCAAAATCATAGGAGCTCAGGCTGAGAAAATACATAGGCTGTGGGGGCTGGTGGGCCTGAATTGGAGGTTGTGTGTCCTATCTCCTTCACAGTATGGGACCCCTAGGACCCAATTCAAGGGCAGGCAAAGGAAATGTAGAAGAGCCAGTACCCTCATTCAACAAAGACCCCATGTCCTACAAACTGGCCCCTTAAGATGAATTCAAAGTACAAAGACTGCAAATACATAGATACACACTCTCCCTTATAAAATTCTCAGGACATTTAGGAACTTCTTTTTTTCTTTTTTCTTTTCTTTTTGAGACAGGGTCTCCCTGTAGTCCCAGCTGGCCTGGAACTCACTATGTAGACCAGGCTGGCCTTGAACTCACAGAGATCTGCCTGCCTCTGCCTCTGCCTCCTGAGTGCTGGGATTAAAGGTGTATGCTACCACACTTGGTGACATTTAGGAATCTCTTTACAGGTTTGGCAATGGTATTTTATTATTATTATTTACTTATCAGTATATATGTGCCCATGTGTGTATGTGTGTGCACATGCATGTGCAGGCCAGAGGACAACCCTGGTTGTCCTTCCTCCAGCACTATCTTATTTTATTTGTTTGTTTGTTCATTTGTTCGTTCGTTCATTCATTCATCATTCATTCATTCATTCATTCATTCATTATTTTGAGACAGGGTCTCTTTGTAGCCCCAGCTGGCCTGGAACTTGCTAAGTAAACCAGGCTGGCCTCAATTTCACAGAGATCCTCCTGCCTCTGCCTCCCAGGTGCTGGGATTAAAGACAGGCACCACTACGCCTGGCCTTTTATTTATTTATTTTTGATGAAGGGTCTTTCACTGGCCTAGAGCACTCTTATTAGGCTAGGCTGGCTGACCAGAGAACCTCAAGGATTTCAAACTCCATCACATTGGCTATTTTTCTTTTTTAACTTGGTTTCTAAGGATTGAACTCAAGTTGTGTTTGCAAAATAAAGACTTCGCTGACTGAACTATCGCCCCAGCCATGGGTTTTTTCCCCATTTATTTTTTTTTTTTTTATTTTCAGGGGTAGGCGTATGTGTGCCATGGTATGTTTGTATGTGCGGAAGTCAGAGAACAATTTTCAGGAGTTGGTTCTCTCCTGGGGATCAAGCTCAGGTTGTTAGACTTGGCAGTAAGCATGTTTACTCACTCAGTCATCTCTCCAGCCTTTTTTTATTTTTTTAAGATCCATTTTCAAGCTAGGCATGGTAATGGTATACACCTGTAATCCCAGCATTGACAGTGGTGGCAGCTAAGGCGGGAGGATTGAGAGTTCTAGGCCAGCCTGGTTACAAAGTAAGAGCCTGTCTTGAACAAACAAAACAAAACGAAAATCCATTTTTAGAGGTACATAAGGTAGGAGGATCACCAATTTCAGGCCAGCCTTAACTGCATGGCAAGATCCTGTCTTAAAATAACAACAAAAAAGACCAGACCAGGACTGACAAATGTCCACTGCATTTTCTATCCACTTTTACATACAGTGATATTTGTCACAATAAAAAATATTAGCTGGGGGCTGGAGAAATGGCTCAGCGGTTAAGAGTACTGACTGCTCTTGCAGAGGACCCAGGTTTAGTTCCCAGCACACACATGGCCTACAAACCATCCTTAACTCCAGTTCCAGAGGAATCCGAAGCCCTCTTCTGACCTCCGCGGCATTGCATGACACTGGTGCACTCACATACATGCAGGCAACACCCTCATACACATAAAATCAAAATAATAATAATAAAAAAAATATTGGCTAGGGATGTAGTAGTGGTAGAGTGTCTGCCTAGCATTCACAAGACCCAGGGTTCAATTCCTAGCATTGAAAACAAGTTAATTAATTAATTTTGGTTCTTTGAGACAGCATCTCCCTCCAGGCATGGTAGCAGGCAGCACAAACCTATAATTCTAGAACTCAGGAGGCAGAGGCCGAAGGACTGGGAGTTCAAAGGAAGCCTGAGCTACATAGTAAGTTTGGGGCCAGACTGTGCTACATGAGACCCTGTCAGAGAAAGAGAGAGAGAGAGAGAGAGAGAGAGAGAGAGAGAGAGAGAGACTATATAGCACAGGCAAGCCTCAAGCTTGAGATGTTCTTGCCTTAACCTCCTAAGTACTTGGATTACAGATTTTAGAGGTGCATCCCTACACCTGGCCTAAAACAAACAAATCTAGCATATACAATTCCAGCACTAAAGCAAACAAACAAAAAAAAGAAGGACATGGATCTAAAGGGAGACAGAAAAACTGGTCAACTAAGAATTATGCAACAGGAACACAAAGAAGAGGAATCTAGATTGATTAGCGTGTACCCCCACGTACCTCCCCAAACAGTCCCCAGCCCAACCCAGCCCAGATAGATCCCTGAAGTTATGGCTGATGCTCTGAACACCCCACCCATCTAGACTGGAGTTGCTGAGGCCTAGCCATGCAGTGTGGAGACCTGACTAGGTCTCAGATGAGAATGCCTCCTGTTACTGATCATACCACAGAACAGAGAGTTCAATGCCCCACCTGGTCTGCTGTGTAAACCACTACATAGCCATGTACCTCAGTGTTCTTAAATATAAAATGGGGAGAACACTTGGCCTACCAAACGCACAGTGAAATAATGGAAGTGAAAGCACATTGGGTGGCACCATGCAAGACCTTCAGATGTCGTAGGTGGCTGTTTTTACTGGTGGCTGTGGAGACTAGAGAAAAAAGCCCAGGCAGGTTCTGTCTGGGCTCTGGTGCCAGCTCTGCCAGCAGTGAGTATGCTGTGTAACCTTAGAAGGGTGTCTTGCTGTCTCTGGGACTGTCTGTGCAGTTAGAGGGATGGACAGAATCTTTTGGGTCTTTTCTAGTTCAGGAACTCTGGGACCAGAAGTTTGGCCTGTGTGCCTGGAGACATCCAGAGAGAGACTGGAGTTGGGGGATCAGAGGAGAATTGCTAGAAGTCTTCAGAAATGAAGGTTGGCCATTAAAGAACATATGGTCTTTCCTGGGTTCATTTCAGTGTGGAGGAACAGTTCAGCAACTTGAAGTCAGCTGTGGTTAGTGAACAGGTCCCTCCATGCCAGACTGCCCCACAGAAATTGTCTGGAGGGAAATCGCTGTAGCCATGGCATTCTGGGGCCCAGCAAGGCCTTCTGTCTCTCCTTCCAAGCTCCATCCTTGCCATCTCTTAATTACCTGAGTCTCTATCCCACCATCCCACCATCCTAATCCATCAATGGCAAAATCCCTGGACACAGAGCCCTAGCTGATCCCTGATTTCAAAGGGGAGATGGGGCTTCTCATAAGACACAGAGAGCACACTCAGGGTGTTGCTTACTAGACAACCCCACATAAACTGCAAGTTTCTCTTTCTTCCTCACACTAGAGACTCTATCCGGAAACATCACCCTGAGCCTCAAACCCTTACCATCTATAGACCAGCCTCAGAGGAAACCCCCTCCAATTTCTCCCAAGTTGGATTAGTAAATATCTGAGCACATTTTCAGGGACCAGCCTCAAAGGGCACAGTATGGGACTGGCCACCAGCTAGGACCAGAGGTGAGCTTGTTGTGCCCCCACAAATTTTACTGTCCCCCCCTACACAACACACACACACACACACACACACACACACACACACACACACACAAAACATATGATCTTAAAGACCAGAAAAGAAACTTGGCAACTGCTTCTACATGTCACCAGATTCCAGTCTGCCTACCCTCCCATCAAAGCTGCCCCAGCACAGCAGCAGCAAAGTAGGGAGGGAGGGAGCACAGAGAGCCCAAGAGATTCTCTCCAACACTCTAGGTTCCTATGTACAGGGACTAACAGGCTGCCAGTCCCCACTAGACCCAGAACATGCACTCCCAGCTGCCCACTGCGACCCTCCACTCTCAGGCAAGGAGCAGGGCTGGGGCACCATCAACTCTGAAGCGAGATTCGTCCTTTCCCCTGACCAGGGTAGGCTTAGCAAGCCCACACCATCATCTCTCTCCTTTTTGAGTTCTCTGACTGTTGGTGTGATACCCTGGGCATCCAAAGCTCTCCAAAGCTTTCATCGTCCTCCCTGCAACCCTTCTCCCCTGTCACCTAAAAACTTTGAAGCTCAAACTGCAAGCACAGAGACCCAAGCACTTCTAGCTTCAGATAAAAAAAAAAAAAAAAAAAAGATAAAAGTCCTTGTTCCGGTGGGCCACCGAGGCGAGACTCTCGCCGGCTCCGCCCCACGAGCTCGCTGCGCTAGGCGCGTATACTCACCGTCCCTGCTTGGTGATGATCATCTCCGTCTGGTGCTGGTTGAACTTGGACCACAACAGGTGGTTGTTGAGCGCGACTCTCAGCTTCCCGGACACCTCCAGTCCAGCGGGCAACGCGTAGTCCTCGCGCGGCCCGGGGTAGAGCCCCGCGCGGGGGTCCGGGGCAGCGTAGCCATCTCCGGGCTGGTAGCCCTCGGTGCCAGCGGGCGGCGGGAAGGGCTCGCCTGACCCGGGGAAGCCGGCCGCCTGGGCCCGGGGCGGGTAGGCATAGGCTCCGAGGAAGCGGCCCGGCGGAGCCGGCACCAGGGCGCCCCCGGAGAAGGGTGCCCCCAGGCTGCCACCTCCGCGGCGATCGGCCGCGTCCTGCGCTCCGGGCTCCGGGTAGAAGTAGCGATGCTGCTGGTCCGCGCCGGATCCCCGGCCCTCATCACTCGTCGGCATCGGTTCGGTGCCGGTCAGCATGTCTCGACAGCCGGGCTCCACGATGCCCATCCGGGGCGGGCAGGGCGCCTCCACGCAGCCGTCGAGGACCGATAGGTCTCCACGCGGGGGGCAGACCGGGGG